GGTTTTTGGAAAATTCAAAATTTCTGTAAAATCAAAGTGGGGTGTTACAGTTTGGTGAACCCTGAACCCTGAACCCTCTTGAAATATATTTATTTTCGGCTGGGAAGAAAATTAATAGTACTAACTCTTGCTGAATAAAAATTGAGTTGGCACGCATTTCACCAAAAAACTTCTAGCCAACACAACTTCAAATACATATTTATTTTCGGACGGGAAGAAAACTAATAGTACTAAATTTTGTTGAATGAAAATTGAGTTGGCACGCATTTCACCGAAAAAACTTCTGGCCAACACAACTTCAAATACATATTTATTTTCATACGGGAAGAAAACTAATACTACTAACTCTTGCTGAATGAAAATTGAGTTGGCACGCGTTTCACCTAGGAAACTTCTGACCAACAAAACTTAAAATACATATTTATTTTTGGCCGGGAAGAAAACTAATACTACTAACCAAAGAAGCGTTTTGTGTTCAATCAGCGCTCGAGAGCATCCACTACATTTTTCGTCTCCACAAAGACTAAAGTCAAAGCATTCTAGACCACAGAAAAAAAAATAAAAAACAAAAAACAAAAAAAAGACATGTAAGAACGTAGTAATAGTGGAGAAACAATGTGCATCACCTTAGCAGGGATTGGTCTTTTGGCAACAAAGAATATCAACCATATGGTACCGTTTGCTCTGAGCAATGAGATTGGTGCTCGATCCAACTTTTCCAGCAGCAAGCTCTTGAGAAAATTCGATGCAAGCCTCTGCAATAGAGTGAAATCGTACAATTTACTTCACATGTGCTTTTTTGGCTGATAACCGTCAGTCCCAAAGGAAAAAAAAAAATGAAAAAAAAAATGCATAAAATGCTAACACTGAGAAAGAAGAGAGCATCCACTACATTTTTCGTCTCCACAAAGACTAAAGGCTATGTTTGGTTTTTAGCGGTTTGGGAAAAAAAGCTAAGTTAGCGGTTTTGACCAAATAAAATAGCTAACATTAATGTTTGGTTAAGTAGCTTATTAGCTTGGCAATTTGGGATAAAAAGCTGAAATGTGAAACGCTATGGGTTGCAGCGTTTGAGAATGGCTTTTGCACATTATTTTGTTAGTCCACCTATTTTTTATTGGCTAATTACTATTAAGAACTTCCCTGCATGTCTTTGCATTACAAATGCTAACTATTTTCAATTCATTTAGTATCAATTATTCAAATAAATAACAAACAAAGATGTAAAATTTAATGAATTATTGATGGATAATTATTTACCTTTTTTTATTTTAAAGCGTGACCCTCAATTTTATTTATTTCAGATTGTATTTATAAATAATTTAGTAACAACTAATTTTCAAACAATTAGTTTTACCAAATTGTTTATAATTTTTGAGGACTTTTAACTGGTTGTTTATATGACGTGAACTTATTTACTCGGTCAAGAAATATTTTCATTTTTATTATTATTTCTATTTGTGTTCTATTTATATTACTTTAATAAATAATTAAAATATTAAACTAATTATATTTTTCTAAATAATTATAAGTTCAACATAAATTAGAATGATAAAAGTATGATGATGTCCTTATAAGTAATTTTACATGTTAACAACTAATTAAAATAGTTACTTTACCAAACACTATTTTACAAACCGCTAACAGAATTAGGTAGTCAAAACAGCTAACACAATCCGCTGGTCAAAACAGCTAATGCAATCCGCTAACAGCTAACAGCTAACCGCTGATTACCAAACAAGGCCAAAGTCAAAGCATTCTAGACCAGAGAAAAAAAAACAAAA